GAATGCCATCGTCCTGAAGGTGGCAGTGAGGAAAGGAGACCTGGGATCTTCAAAGAGAAAGTGAAGAGGGAGGAGGGAAAGGATTAAACCCCAGCCCATAAGCAGAGCACTAGAGAAAGCTTCAGTGAGAGGTAATGTCAATAGGGAATGCACAGCGGCTTTGCAAATCAAAAAATGACCCCAACAAAGGCAAAGGATCCCTTGAGAAGATATATTTCCAATCTTCTGCATCTATTTTAGGGCAAAGCAGGCCTGACACTGGTGTTTTCTGAGTGCTATTTCAGCTGATAACAGCAAGGCTGATTCAAACACAGACCAGAGAGCGTGTCTGCACTTCATCCAAACAGCAAAATACTGGAGATCGCACTGAGACCAGCACTTTCAATCAGTATTCACCATCTCTCGAAGCAGGCTGCTCTAGTTCAGGTAGATGCAGGGCTCAACAACAGGCAACCACTGTGTTAAGCAAAACGTTATAGAATCATAGAATGGTTTGGGTTGGAAGGGACCTTTAAAGGTCATCCAGTCCATCTCTCCTGCAATGAGCAGGATTAGGTTTGTGAGTCATACCCTGGCCTTAAAATCCAAGAAACTATGAGCTGGCTGATGTCTATAGGAACCTTCTTTAGCTTCACTTTGAGTTTTAAGCACCTCTGGACTAATAGTTTCTGGCACCAGGTAAGAAACTGCTGCTCAGATGACCATTGTTGAAGAGTACAAGCCTTCACCAGCCTTAATGACTTCAGGGACCTTCAGGGACCTTCAGGGACCTTCAGGGTCCCTGTGACCTCCAGAGGCTTCCAGGGTGGGATGCAGTCTGCAGATCTAGACACCTAGATGTGCTCATCTGTACCCTCAGTGTCTAAGTAGAGATCCCACCAAAACACTCGGTGGGGTCTGGAAAGCCATTCAGCTCAAAAGTAGGTGTCTGTTTGGTGCATATTATAGTGCTTCATTGATTATAACGGGCACGTAGGGCTGGCTTTGCTTGCCTGGACATAGGAGCCTAGTGTTATTTTAAGCTCTGCAGGGACACCCATCTGGCCTAGGAGGAGGCCTGCTTCTCATAAATCCTCTTTTGTACCTGTCAGCCCTAAGAGGATGTCTCAGACACCCTGGGGCATCTCAAATGACACTAAACACCTACATCAACTGAATCCTGGCCTTATCTCTACACAGACACTTACCACAGACCTTAGTTTTGGGTGTCTTAATTTGCAAGCTGAGTCCCAAAGCACATTGCTGACCAAGCTACCATATCACCCTATAGGTTGATCCAGTTAAATTGATGGGTCTTACTTGCTCAGAGTATGACGGCCTGTTAGAGAGTTTTGTCAAAGAAAACATTTCTCCTTTTCCTGGAAAAATAACATTCTCAACACCTCCTCAAACTCAGCCTCCTACTGACAGACATTCATTCATACAGTGCAGTTGGGTGACAGCCTCAGGTCCAAACTACTTTGGCAGCTCCTCACATCAATATATAGAGAAGGGCCTTTGCATCTTTCCAGCCAAAAGCATAGAATATCCACACTTTCTGCTGCAAACACCTAACACCAGATGCCAAGATTAGCTGTTCGGGCTCCCTCGATCCCTGTACAATCAGGACAAAGAGGTTTGTTCTTCCAATAGTTTCACAGAGTATGAACAGTAGGTTTCTGCTACGCAACAGCCCTACGGAGAGGTTTCTCACTTACACACCTGACATTAAACACCTACAGCAGATAATGCAAATTTTTCATTTCATAATTATGTTCTTCACCAGGTCAAATGATGATCAGCTTTCATGGGGCTCCCCTGTTTCTGAACACCTCCCATCTCTTGACAGCTTTGTGCCCAGGCACAAACACAAGCTGCTTTTTTACAGCCACAACAAGAAAACTATGTTGTATCTCTGAAGAGCTGCTCCTAATCATCTGAAAAAGAGACCTTTGCTTCGCCTGCTGTGTTCCCCCATCACATGTAGTCACACAGAAAACTTCAGTGTGGCCACTGCAGTACAATGGACATCCACGCAGAAGTTGGTTTCAACAGCAACATCAGGGGCAGGATTTCAGGGCTTCAGCATCCACACTGGGACCAGACTTCCCGAAGAACTAAACTCCTCAAAGGGCTGCAAAGTACGGACCAATTTTTCCAAGTACTCTGTGCTCTTGTGCTTCCATGGTGGCCTTTATACACAAAGAAAGCAGAGCTTTGTGGAAAATCTGGTCACCTATTTGGTAGGACCTGAGCTGAAAAATTAAACCTACCAACCACTCATATTGGAATCCCCTTTCCATAGTACATGTATACATGCTTTCAGCAAGAGATGAAGATGCTGAATGGAATTAGGATGATGGACTCTGGACTTTGGGATTCCCAGTGCAAGGTGAGATTTGGCAGGACCTGAGCTGAAAAATTAAACCTACCAACCACTCATATTGGAATCCCCTTTCCATAGTACATGTATACATGCTTTCAGCAAGAGATGAAGATGCTGAATGGAATTAGGATGATGGACTCTGGACTTTGGGATCCCCAGTGCAAGGTGAGATCCTTTTTAATACTGTAGGCTCAACACCAGTTTTAGGACCTGCAAATGCTTGTTTGTGGACATGGAAAAACACATGCCTCTTCAGTGGACTCTTCAGCCCTGCAGAGGCAACAGCAGTTCTTTCAGGGCAAAACCAGCCACTATGGCCTAGTGTGGATTTAGTCTTGCAGATCCTTCAAGGTTCCAGGCTGCCCTTCTTTGATAGCAATCAGTTCAATGGGGGTTGTATGCAATTTAACACCTTGGGATAGCGGTAGAAGGTACCTTCAAAACCAAAGCCCTGTGTGTGTGTGTGAGAAACACCAGAGCAGTTTTCACAAGAAAATGGCATGTTTCTATTGTATCTCAGGAGCAGGATTTTCCCTGCTGAGCTCTAACCAACATGCATTTAGTCAGCACCACTTGCTTCGGAGATTTTGGGACAGGAGGGTGAGAGTCCGTTATTGTTGCACAGCAGCATGAAGAAGAAATGGAGAGACAAGAATGACTGCAGCCATCCCCATTCTCTGCAGTCACAGAGAAGGGATGTGTTTACCTTACCCCCTTGCTGGATCTGCCCTCTGGGAGCTAAGCAAGCACAGACTGGGGAGGGAGGGAAGCACATCTCTCCCCATCCAAGGTTTTTGGTAGGAAACCTAAGCCTGAGACACAGTCTGCAGTCTAAGAGCTGATGTGGTGATAGTTTCTCTCTGTATCTCACATTACACAAGTGACATTTGAAAATGCAGTGAAGTCGTAGCTCTTCAACGTGGGCAGCTCTACTCTATGCACGATGCTCACGACATTTCACATAGAAGAAAAAAAATGCTCAACCAGCAACCAAAATGCAAAATGTTTTCAATGGTTTAAAGGATAATTAGCATTTTTAATATGGCATATGAGAGAAATCATTGTCCATAGGCACTTCCTAAGCAAACTGTCACGGCAAGAATTCAGCTAGTGACACAAGTGAAACTAAAGTACAGGAGGTAGAAGGACACGTGAGGGAGAGGTGGTTTTGTCACTACCGTAATTGCACTCGGGGTTACGAATTCAAGAACTTAACATTTTAAAATAAAACCTGACATTTTTAAAGTGAGCTCTTGCAATGGCATATTAAAATACAAAAATAAAAAGTGTCTTTGCTGCTATTATAAAAATTCATAAACATGTTCACCCACTGACAGTATAAGGGCAAGGAAAAAGTGAATGAAAGACACAAAAAACCTTATTTCCTGCTCTATCCACTTAATCCCCAACTCTCTGCTATTGCCAGATCACACAGTCACACGAATCAGCTTCAGCTACAAGAAGACCAGGATTAAAACAGCAGCATGAGCTCTGCTTGCGTCCCAGACTTCATTAGCAGAGTTGATTCAATCAGGGAAAGCTCAGCTAGGCAAAATCACTCACCAGCCTATTTAGCGTGCAGAACATTCACTAAAGTCACCGGCAATCGGAGGTAAAAAAAAAAAAAATTCAGTCTCGGGACCCACCATATGACGCCCTGGAGGAATGCTCACAAATTTCCTAAACCCAGAATGAAACCTTCAGCTGACATCTCGCTCCTCATTTAAAAAGTTTGGGCCAAATTCTGTTCTCAGCATATTATAAGGCTGAACAAATTCCATTCATCTCTGAGGCTTTATTCTAAATTTACCCATGGGAGATTAACACAGAAATTGGTTCTTTGCTTCTTTTGGCTTTCAGGGTATTAAGCGAATCTTCCACAGATTTGAAGGGCAGAAGTGGGCACCTACCAGCCACACCGGCAGCGCAGGCTGATCGAATGTTGTTCATCCTTGAAACAAGCAGCAGAAAAGAAAAATTCGTTTGCAGCAGAATTCAGTTTCTGGCTACATCAGCGTGAACAAAAATTTGAAACCAGTCTCATGCAAGCGTGAAAGCAGAAACTTGTCTCCAGTTAACTCAGCTAGCTATGAATGTAAAATCACTTCAACAGAAACGATATCACCTGCAGATCCCCACTAGCTTCTAGTTTGAATGCAGCGGGCGATGAAGCTGTGTGTACCGCTGGGGGATGGTACACGTGAGCAGAGCACGATGTGACTCACTTTTATCACGCAGTAGACATCGGTGGCTTCGGCAAAGCCAGCCTGAGATTGCTGCACCTGCATTACACTAACTCCTGGCAGTTCACCGGAGCATAACATGGATGGGTTTTATGAGGCACTGAATACACGCAACTTCCACTGCATTTGGTAAAAGCCAATGGCACTGAGCACCTTGCATGATCACATCCTGGAAATAGATTGCGCCATATCAAAAGTAAAAAGCTGATCTGAGCCCTGGGAAGGACATTCACTGTAAGCTGCGAATGCATCTGTACAGAAGTGCTTCTGACTGCCCTTCGCACCCTTCCCTGATGCTGTCCAGACGCTTTCAAACTTTTACCCTCCCAGCCAGATGAAATTTTGCATCGAGATGACTTCCAGTCTGTGTTTTAGAAGCGTTTTTCTCTTACCTATCAAAAACCACGGCAGCGTAGGCTGGCTCTGCAAAGATGACATCCCCAGGCAAGAATTCCTTCTGCGCTTTCAAGCCCCTGCCTTTGCCTTCAGACGTGAACACTTCGACTGACTCCATTCCCCCTTTGGTCATCCCAAGGGACCCCAAGGCTTGGGAAGTGGGTATCTCGGAGCAAGCCAAATCTCCCGCCACTCCTGTTAACTTCGACTTGCCGCAAGACCACGCTTATAAAAGGGCTGGCCTCCCCCCACCCCGGCCGCACCGTTTCCCATAGGAGGGCGAGGGGGTGGGAGCAGGGGAGGCAGGAGGCGAAGATCCTCAACGCAATATCGCCGACCTATGCAGGGAAAGCACAGGGCTGAGACTTCTGCTTCATTAGGAAACCCCCCCTCCGACAACCACGTTTGGAATTGTTTCTCCCAGCCACAAGCAGTTGTATATGTTACCACTCGGATTAATTTATACCCTCTCATTGGAGAGAGAATGTATTCTCTTTGCAGGGTATTTTTAGCAACCACATGCTTCTGTCTCTCAGGAAGCAACAGCTGAGACAGTGGGACAGGGAGGGCTGGTATGCATATTTCTGACCCCTTCCACTGTCATCTGGCTTTTTCCAGAAATTAAACAATGCTGCTTTATTTTTACCCTCCAGGAGATGGACGGTGTGTTTAGAGGCAGGAATAACAGCGAAACACACACCCTGAAATTCTCGTCATCTTCCGTCACCACCGGAGCCTGGAAAAGGGGAGTCACTTCCCAAATGCGGGTGGTGGTGGGCACGCAGGGGAGCATGGAAGGAGCTGGAGGGATGGCAGCGGTTTGGCACGGGCTGTGGAAGCAAAGCGGGACATTTTAGATATTCACACAATTTTGGATGTGCTAAACCTCTTTGAAACCGCACTGCATTGTGGGGGGGGCTGTCCTCACCTCCAATGCTCAGCCACGGAAGGGATGGGGGAATTTGAGCCACCTGAGTGGAAAAGGAGGGTGCACCAGTGAGACCAAACCCACAAAAAGCCAGGCCCTTGCTTCGCTCTCTGCCCCCCAGCTCCCAGCACAAGTTTGGGGTGACACGAGGGAAGGCCTCCACGTACATGAGTGAACCTCACTGTGGAAATTGAACCCAGCCCAGGCTGTCGCTCAGCACTTTTTTATCATTTAATAGCACTTTGCGGGGCTGATTTCTGCTAATCTCACCCTCCTGCCCCTAGGAAACCTGATGCTATTTCCTCCTGGATCTCTAAGCACTGCACAGATATCAATGTTTGCAAACCTCTTCCCACACCTCCGTGCTGCACAGAAAAACCTGTCTGTTTTAATCAAGAAAGTGAGATGCGGAGAAATAAAGAGGGTAATTCCTGTGCATCCCTAGCCTGTAAAAGAAATGCTTTACTTTGCCAAGGCAGCGGGAAGCATCGTCGTGCTCTTCAAGACAGTCACAGAGCTGCTCAGCATCTTCTGCTAAAAGCCTCTGGCAATTTTCCTCGCCTGTGAATGAAGTATGGTATCACACTTCAGCACAAATATCCTGCATTAAACAATATCAATCCACAACTCTATAAATTCATGGTGATCCGGGTGTTCATGTGATTATGAGCAATCTTTCCCGAACAACCAGACGCTTCCACTCATCCTGAGGAGGGCCAGAGCCGTGGCAGAGCCATCAGCACAAACCTCCCAGCGTTTACGCTGCGCAGCATAGAAGTCACTGCAGGCAATTAACCCCTGCAAGCAATTACAGTTTTAATTGCAATGCTCTGCTTGTGTCATACATGATGTCAGGATGCTCTGGTCTCACCTGTTACACATGTTTAATTTAATAAAGTGCCTTTTAGATACATATATTTGCCAGCAGTACTTTAGCACCTCAAAATCAGGTGCTAATATTTTTTTCTCACAAAAAAACCCTGATCTGGAGTGTGGTTATATTGAACCCAGTCATTAATCACACTAAATACTGTTTCTGATTCCCAGATAACAAAGAATACAGAATAGAATAGAATAACAAAGAATATAACTATAACAAAAAATATAATTCCATCTTTTCAAAGTATCCAACTAAACCCAACAGATCAAAGTCCTTCTAGGACAGAGTTACAATAGAGCAGATCCCTGCACAGTCAGACATTCTTGGAGAACTCAGTACAACACAACGCATCCCTCACCCCTTCAGGTCACACAAAAAAAATCATCGTGGCTGAGACAGAGCATAACAAAAGTCTCATTTCTTCCCTTCCAGCCCGGTGAATGTCATGGTGTGTGTGCTCAACTGGGTCGTACAGGAGGAGATCAGCCATCCGGCTGCACATCACACCCTTGGCACCACTGGGCCATGGTTTCACACCCAGCTGTTTGCAAAAATACGATGGTAAAACTGTCAATCTGAAAGAAAAAAAAACAAACAACAAACCACTGGAAAAGTTGGAGAGGTCCAAAAGAGGCTGGTAATGGGGATTCCTGTTTTTTAAATACCCATTTGGAGCAGTGACCCTACTTTCAACCCCTTGGAAATACATGGAATTTCAAAGCCAGCCGGAGGGACACGCTGATTTTGGAGCGGCGAGCAAGGCTGACCCTTCAACAGCAAGTTATTCTGCGCTTGGGTCTGCCGGGATATGGGGCTGGAGGGGTGAGCGGCTCCGTCCTCCCAACAGGAGAACAAACAGCACCCTCTACTGCCCTGTGAAAAATTATCCAAAGCACAATATTATTGGATATAATCACAGCAGCTTTGGACTGCAGTGAGTGGTACTCAGACAAGCTGTGGATTAGAGAGAAAAAAGGGGAAAAAAAAAAAAAAAGGGGAAAAAAGCATCTGTCCTCAATGGGTGCTCCTCGGACTTGTCCGGTCGTTATAATTCAGCTTTAAACGTTAATGGCCCTCACCTGCAGGGTGAGGGTGGGCCTTGTGCCGCCATGAAACCCTTTTTGGGGTGACATCGGGGAAAATTTGGGGGAAATTAGACTGCCCATTCTCCTGGGGTTGGGGGGAATTCAGCCCTGAAGAGGGATGGCTCGATGGGGTGATTGAGGGGAGGGCCGGCTGG